ATGGATTTTTTATCAAATATAACCAATGAATATAACAATCCCTGTCATTGAGTCATTGCCGTAGGTATAGCTGATGAGCTCGTTTTACAATAGGACAAAACGGGTGTCCTACTTTTTATGCTCACGACTGTACATCCATCATAAAAAATTGAAAACAAACGTATTTGATGTACCTAATAATAGTCGTCAAATACGTTGTTTTTGATTTTTTATGATGGATATGATGGATGTCCATTTAAAACTTAAATCTTATACATATTCATATTTAAAATAAATATAGTTTAAAAAAACTAAAAAACCCGCTTTTATAGTAAATTGAACAAAAAAGTGAAAAATAATTTTTAATATAAACAGAAAATATTAATGAACAAAAACTATTAGAATTATTGTGAAAAAAGCGTGGGATGCTTTGTTCCACATTTCTCGTACATTGAGCACCCCACGCTTTTTTCACAATATTTCTAATATTTTTTGTTCATAAATATTTTCTGTTTATATTAAAAATTATTTTTCACTTTTTAGTTCAATTTACTATAAAACCGTGTTTTTTAGTTTTTTTAAACTATATTTATTTTTCACTTTTTAGTTCGATGTATTATTTTGTTGTTCATTTTTTTATTTTGAAGAAAAAACTTTAATTCTTATTTGTGTTTTGTTTATATTTTGCACCATTTATCTTTATCAACGGCTAGTGCGTCGCACCGCACCGATAGCACAGTCACACTGAGTGTGTCATTCCTGAATTCGCCCCAGAGATTTCCAGACTTTTGCAGACATTATCCAGACTTATTCAGAGCTTTCCAGAGTCTTCCAGATTTCATCCAGATTTATCCAGACTTGTACAGACTGATACGGATTCTGGAAAATGATCCCTAGGTCTTTTGGGACCTTTTCCAGAATTTTTCCGACCCTTTCAAGAAGTTTCCAGGCCTTTTCCAGTTGTTTCAAGAAATTTCCAGACTCTTCCAGACAATATCCAGACTTATCCAGAGTTTTACAGACTTCATCCAGATTTATCCAGCCCTTATCCAGACTTGTACAGACTGCTCCGAATTCTAGAAAATGATCCCCAGGTCTTTTGGGACCTTTTCCAGAATTTTTCCGACCCTTTCAAGAAGTTTCCAGGCCTTTTCCAGACGTTTCCAGACTTTTCCAGACATTATCCAGACTTATCCAGAGTTTTCCAGACTTCATCCAGATTTATCCATACTTTATCCAGACTTTTTCAGACTGATCCGGATTCTAGAAAATGATCCCCAGGTCTATTGGGACCTTTTCCAGAATTTTTCCGACCCTTTCCAGAAATTTCCAAGTCCTTTCCAGACGTTTCCAGAGATTTCCAGACTTTTACAGACAATATACAGACTTATCCAGACCTTATCCAGACTTGTACAGGCTGATCCTGATTCTGGAAAAAGATCCCCAGGTCTTTTGGGACCTTTGGCAGAATTTTTCCGACCCTTTCCAGAAATTTCCAGGCTCTTTCCAGACGTTTCCAGAGATTTCCAGACATTTTCCAGCCTTTTCCAGGCTTTATCCAGATTTATCCAGACTTGTTCCAGCTCACTTGGCTTGTTCCAGGTTCTTGTTCATACACTTCCCAAGGGTCCAAAAGTTCGCAGGCATCCCTATGTGCCCGTGCGATAAACATTTTCAATGTTACTTACAAACATACATACAAACATACATACATACATACAGGTGAAGCTAATATAAGCGTGTTAATAAGCGTGTTAATTAGCAAGAGGTAGGGCACAAGATGGCGGCTTTTCCATATGAATATACCTATAGGATTTTAAACAACCAATCAAAAATAAGACAGCAATTGTCGCCACTGTGATTCACGCTATGTCCAGCGTGAACGCGATTCGACCGATGCGGCAAACGCACGCTCCGTTGAAAAAACGTGACAAATGCGTTTGTGTCCAATATGCCCACGAGATTGTCGGTCGTTGTTCCTTCTTGTCTCTTGCGTTGCTTCGCATTTATAAAATGGATGAACCAGAACCTGTACTTTCATTAGAAATGGTGTACTGAAATTGAAAATGTTAAGAAGAATGGCGTAGGGAGAAATAATCATAACTCCATGGAATATTTCGAAAACGATTAAAGTTCGGAGAATTTTATCATTTATATCAACAGCTATTATTTTGTGTACATTTGTTAAAGCTTAATCAATCTTGGTGAATTTATTGACTTCGAACCGACGTTGGCGGAAAACTTAGTGCCGCCTATTGAAATTTAGTCGAATGACAACGTCCGACCAACGTTGCCTACTATACCAAAGCTTACCTAGCCATAATAGGTCATATGGCGACGTTGTAACGACGTCCAAAGAAACCTTTCAATATTTTAGTCGAGAAAGGACGTCACGTCAACGTTGGCAAATTACTCGTAAGCTACTTTAATTTTCGTAGGCGGCTTGCGTGGTCGAAGGGCCTATATTTGATTCTATATTCTTGTAGAGCACAATTCTCCTATTACAAAAATATATAATTTGCCCATATTTGGTGGAGTCGTCAGCCGTCTCCAATATATTTGGCTTTAAAAATTGTAAAAGTATTATCCTTCTGACTTAGATTTGGTGGACCATTCTACCTGTAAGTGACTGTGGTAATACAAGCTGTGGTAATACCGCAAATGTTCATGGTGGAACAGGAGTAGACCTCTAGGAAATATTAAAGATCTATCACAGAGGATAAGCTTGTTTTGGGTACGGGTATATGGACTGAATAAGTCAACATTGTTTTGCGACTTTTGCGTTTAACATCCAGATTTCCGGATTATGAATACCTTGTTAGGAAAAACGTGGTAAACTTTCACAAGGAATCATTTACTGTTCCGAATAGCAAACCTTTTCCACAAGACGAACCAAATCATATTAAGGGCGATGTCATAGCCACCTGAGCCTGTCAAAGGGATTTCGAAGTGCGAAGCTGAAGAATCTCCAGGCAAGCATCTCTCCTCTACGATACTGAAGAAGAACTCAAAAATTCAATTGCGAGAATAAGGATAACTTTGAGGGTAAAAATGGCGAAACTAGTAAGACGAGCATCATGAAAGCCACTAGGTACCCAAAATTGTCGATTTCCTGATGGTAAATTAGTTTTCTATTTTGGATTTAACAAACGAATACTAGCATATGTGCATTACCAAAAATGACAAAGAAAAGACAGCTTTTTCCTGGAAGTGGTCTTCAACGACTTCAACCATTCAAAGGGAGTTAATCTTTTTTGACTTTGTAGCGCTGGTGGAAGCCGTATTACGAGGACTCACCTGGAAAACTTTTGATAAACACAAGAAGCATTTAGTTATTTGTATCTGTAAGGCAAATTTTCTATTAAATTATAGGAAATTTTCACTGTGCCAACAACGCGTTGATTTTCTTGGTCACGTGGTTTCACTCAAAGAAATTCATACTGACGAGAGAAAAATCCAAGCAAAAATTGTATCGACAATAGAGTTCCGAACAGCTTCGAAGTGACCAATAATAATTAGAAAATAGTGACATCAAACCATTTTTGCATCTAAAGGAAACCGGCAAATCCAGACCAACCAAAGCACGAAATTATAGCTAGATTGGAACACACACATTGGAAAAGATACGCGACCGATTCAATTCTGACTAGTCTATATATTAGCTATTACCTACCAAGAATGTGAACATGCGCAAGGTTCTAAAAAGCGACAAATGAAGCAGTACAAAGAAGGGAAACACTTCGAACGCATGGCAATAGACAGCTGGTCCATTCCCTGCGAAGTGAAGTGGCGAGAAGATGGATTGAAGTTTTCGCTATTTCAAACCAGAACAGAAAGCATCAACGGTTGCAAAAGTCCCCATTGACATTTCTACTAGGTTTGGAATTCCATTGGAACCGCATTCGGTTCAAGGGCGCAACTTCGATTCACGATTATTCCAAAACTTACACGAACTGCTGGCATTCACAAGACCAGAAACACCAGGTTGGTTGATGACTTCAATAAGATCGAGGAACATCTGTCGTAAAGTAGCTGATATGCATATATCAGAACGATTGGGACAACCATATACATATACATACCCCTATTTCTAATAGCATTCGAGGAGAGTCTATACTCATTCCAGGTCAGCTGTAGGTACTGCTATATACATATTAAACAGGAGTAAAACCAGCCAGATGTTTGAAAGAGAGCTTCGTTCATCCTGTGATTTGGTACCTATTCGGGTCACCAGGATATTGCCATTGCCGATATAGAAGCCGAAAACCATGCAGATGATTTGCGCAAAAAGTTGCTTAACATTCATGAAGTAATTACAGGAAAGACAGAGTTCGCAAATGACCGAATGAAAACGAAACATGATTTTGAAGCAATCTCTGCAGGTTTCCAGATAAAGACTCAGTTTGGCTTTATAAACTTCAAATGGAAAGAGGGAGATCTCCCTCTCTCAAGCTACTCCGGTATGGGAAGGACTGTGTGCGAGTTGCGAGTGTGAAACTCAAAACTTAAAAAGATTGTGCATAAAATTTAACGTGTCTTCAAAAGTAAAATGGTTTATCGACAGGTTGAAGGCTCGTAACAAGATTAAATGGTCGGATCGAGAGGGAGGTTCTGATTTGAGAGCGGAACACGAAACTCCAACAATAAACTAACAGGAGCAGGAATAGTTGAGTTTGCTTGCTCAATGAATTTGTGTCTGCGTTGTGGGAAATATTTTCTTATGGCCTATGTTATTAGTTCAGATTAGAGAGTTGAAAATAGATTATTATATCATTTGAATGAAATATGCATTGCTTATAGCAATGTGTTAGTGTAGCTATTCGCTGGTTGCATTTTCCCAAAGGGAGCTGGAAAGAAAAACAACAAAAAATAAATAACAAACTAATAGATTTTTGTTTAATTTATTCTATATCAACTTCAAACAAACATTTTTTAACTAACCTATTAAACATGTGAGACCACATACAAAATTTGCTCTTACATCTATATCATACTTGACATACTTAATAATAGGTATAATTTTATATATTTTTCTTATCTTCCACATTTTGATCCTCAGCAACAACTCCAAGTTCACCAATTGCATTTTCAGTTGATAATAATGGCTTTCCTCCGTCTTCATTCTCCTGCTGCAAATATTTAGGAAACCAAAAACAAGCATAAGTTAACTTCAAAAATAACCATACTAAAAAGGCTAGAAACAAATAGGAACATGATGAATAAATCATCTTCCACACGTTGACGACTACTTTTTGGTGTTTCATATTTAATATGTATTGATATTGTCAGGATGCCACATAAAAATGTAAAACACAAGTATTGAACTATAATAGGTATTTCATCTGTTGCATTGGGAACATAGCAACACTACGATTACAACAAAAATAACGTGCGTGTTATGATGTGGTATCTAATAATTCATATGAAATATTTTCGAACTCACACTAATTTTTTTGGATATAATAATTATTATCAATCCACAGTTTGTTGAAAAAGCTCATATGCACCTTAGGTTGTATAGTAGGTTTGTATTGTCAAGAATTATTGCGATGCAGGTGCTGGTTAGCAAACTATTCTCCATTGAAAAAAAAAACTGTACATACGAGACTTCGTCGGTAAATATTCGAATTTATCGACGAATGAAATACGTTACCTACTTAGGTATATTATGCAACAAACTGTAAACCTTATAAAAATTATATTTCACAATATGTTGACCAGTAGGCTTTTTGTGATAGGTACTAAATAAAAATTAAGTACCTGACATTCTTCCACATTTTCAAAACGTCTCGTCAACTCTTCCAGTGAGTCTATGTCCATATAACCCATACTCTTTCGTCTCTCCTCCAGTTCCATTCTTTCTTGTAATTTCCTTAAACTATCTTCAACTACGTGCAAATTAGAAAAAACTTGCTGCTTGCCCCTTAAGAATTTGCTAATCATCCATAGAGAGGCTAAAATGCAAAAGCATACCCATACACCAAATCCTATTTGTAAGTTAGTTTCATCTTTATTAGCCATTTTAAGTGAGATGAGTGTATGTTGGATTATTCAGAACTGAGAAAGAACTGAACCTTCGAAATTAATCGGTCGGTTGGCATTTTCAAGGATCGTATAAAGGCAAATAATATCGATACTGTTAAATTATTAATCTTGTAATTTGTAGATGCCTTGCTTTATAGATTATTTATATGTTGTTTTTGTAAGGAAATGTTGATAATTACTAAAAACGCCAATACCTACTTTAGAGTTTGAGATAAGCTTTTCAAATTTTTAAAACTAATTGTTAGTGAGCCGGTTTGTAGATAGGTGAGACTAATCTTCAAAAATTAAATCACCCCTCTTCAAAACAATAACCCACAAATCACGATGAAACTTACTATTGACTGGCGTGACATTAATTACCCGATTATTTTAGTCTCATTCAATTCATCACTAGCAGATTCTTGCGTCTATCTTATCAATTACTTACCCTCGGTGGCCGACTCCCGTTTTATAGCGCTTCGTTGCTTCTAGAATTGTCTTGATAATTCGCTTCCATTCGTTTCGAATTCGCTGGACTTTGACGAGGTGAAGTTCCATTTGAGAATTTCCTAGATTAGCTAATATTACAAAATTGTGCACAATTCCCCCAAATTCAGAGATTTATAACAAAATTGTAAATATGTTTAATTCGACATCGTAAAGTTATCACATCCCGAAATCTATAATTTACACACTATTGTGTAATTAAACGTTTAGTTTTTTTCAAATAGTAATAATTGGGGTGGAGCAAAACTCGAATTCGGATAGTGCTTTTTCCCACTCTTAGAATTTAGAAACTTGTGCAACCTGGCCTACTTAAAAAAAATTCTTAAAAAGCAAATAACATAATATAATTGTGTAGGTAATCTAAAATTTAACAATACATTTTCTTTTCCAGAAATGGAAATTTATGCCCTCCTACAGATCTCCCTTGTTAGTCCTAACTGAATAAAGATGTAGAAGAAACAATCCAGCAGAAGGTGATTTCAATAGTGAAATGTCTATTCCAAATATCATTTATCTCATTGTAAATATAAACAAACAAATAAGCGAATCTATCTCTAGGAAATATGTGAAACGATATAAGGAATAATGCCAACATTATTCCATTAGTTTTTGGCAATAAACATTCAACTTTAACGTGTTCTTATTAATTGACCACCCACCGTCACTACATTATTGGCTGATAGTTCAGTTCATAGTTTGTAATTTGGACCTGGCTGTTTTAATTAACAATAACGTACCAAATTTTCTCGGAACTTGTGACAAAAATATCCAAAAGAAAATACTTGCCTTCTATAATATACATTGTATTTTATTATACATATAAAAAAAAAACAAAATTTAAATATCGTGTCTATATCTCTTTAGTACTACATCTTATCCTCCTGATCTGTAATAATTTTTCTATTAGAAGTAATGAGATAAAGCCTGTTGGAGCCAATGTTACAGAATAAATGTGTGCGTGCCAATTAAAATAATTATCAAGTTAAAGTTACATAAGTGAGAACATAAGAATAACTGTGAGTGTGTATTATAACAAATTTAAATATATAATATTTTAATCGGTAATGTAACTAGTAATAGGTCATTCTTATAGGTAATAATTCTTATTACTGGTGCACTGGTAATACCTTAACCAATAATTCAATCTATATTGGATTTTTTTTAAATATTCAACTTATATATTTTTAAGTAACTGAATATGTTCTATTGCAACTACCTATTTAATTTTCCATTGTATTTTCAATGGAATATCTCTTTAGAAGTAACATACTTATATGATATGTATTGTAATGATGTAATATATTATTTGACCAGATATTTTATAATATATATATATATATGAGTACTCGTAAAAAACATCAAGAAAATTCAGGAGTGAACTGAGAAAATGTTAAGATTCAAAAAAATTGTTTTCTAAATATTTTTAACAGCATTGTTTTACTGTGAGAGAGGTTCAAAGACTAATTTAAAAATAACTTTTCTAATGCTGACATTCTGCTTCATTTAAAAGACAATATTTTGTACTTTAAACTCAGAAATTCAGTCCTGAATTTGCGTGATTCTGATTCTACTGACTGATACAAAAGCCAAAATGTAAGTATTGTGAATTAATTGGCCAAATACCGGCGTTAAAACGCCACATTAAAAGTGATTGTCAGTTTTTTTTTACATTAATTATTATAGGATTCCTAATGGAAAACAAATTGTTCTGCGCTCAAACGTAGCTACCCTCTCTCAGACTAAACTAAAATTGTAGTTTTGATTCTAATCTACGATACATTCATAAGGCAATCTCGAATTTGTGTCCATGTTTGTAAACCCTGAAAATTATTAAATTGAAAATTTAATTTTTCTTCAACATAAACTGTCATACCTTTCTTGCTGTTTTCAACTGCAAAAATGAATAACTGGCCAGTGTTTCTCTTAAATCTGATACTCTTTGATTTTGAAATCTGTCAATATCTTCTGTAGCTTTTAAGGTAAAGTCACTAAAAATCAAATGAAAAATTTAACTCTTTCTTCTAAAACTCAAACTCCAATTTACTTTAAATTCTCTCTATATTCATTAACAGTTGCAGCTCCCTCTTGAATCTCCCTATCCAACTCACTAACTTTCATTTCCCTTACATCTTCAGTATCCACTGCTCCAAATAGCCTCGACATCAAACCAGACTTTCCCTGTTGAATCTTCGTCCGTTCCACATTTTTATTGGCAATATTTTCTTCGGAGTCTTCCAGTTTAAGTTGTGAAATTTCCCGATTTTTACAGACAGATTGTAGAGAATTCGCAAAAAATAGATATTCTTTTAACTGGTCAGCTAATAATTCCTCATCTTCTAAGGCCGCATCAATGCAAGAAGCTAATGAATCCAAATAATGACCAGTTTTTTGAAGAGCATCTCCCATTTCATTTTCGATAACGCTCCACTCGCTGAAAACCCTTCCATAGTTTGCATGTAATTTGTGAACTGTGAATTCTTTTTCCGCCACTCTACATCTGGCTTTTAAAAGACTATTTAAAATGGATTGGAAGTTAATGCTAAAATCTTTAATCGCCTCAAAACGAGCATGATTTCTTTTCAGTCTTATAGATACACTTAGTGTTTTTAATTTGTTTTCAAAAAGTTGTAGATATCCGTTGGCCTTATAAGATTCGTGCCATCCTTCCTCATCCTGCAAAAATTCCAAAAAATGATCGTCCCAACTTAAAACTGGATGGGAAGCAACTCTTAATAGGAAGTTTTCGAGTCCCGCTCGTCGACGGTCAATAAAATTTGGATCGAACGTATCATTGGAAATTTTTTGCCAAGCGAACATAACTCTTTTTTCTGGGAGAGGAGGAAGTACTATGTAAGGATAACCAATCTGTAGATAGTTTGATAACTGTTCAAACTCAGTGTACCTTCTCCAGATGGTGGAATGTTTGCGAAGTTTATTTTCAAACGTTGGACAAACCAGTCTAAAAAAAATAAAACGTCGCAGCAAAATTGTTAAAAATAAGCATTCCAAAGTTTATGAATAAAATACTAACTTGGTTTCAATTAAATATACTGTATAGTAATCCCTCAGATTTAAGGCGCCATTATTTCGTTTCTCTGATTCCGAAACTGATATTTCTATGTGATTAATTAGCAGGTCCTAAAAAAAAGTTTCAAGTGAAATAATAGTTATTTATGTATCAAGGGAATTATGAGGGTGTTAATACCCCAGGATAAAGTTTGTGTCCCAAGGGCCTTTGGCCCGAGGGACACCAATTGCCCGTGGGTATTAACACCTGATAATTCCCGTGGTACATAGATAATTCTATTTCCTACTGAATTTACTGTATTTTGTCCATTTTTATAAAGGAATAAACCATAAACCAAAATTTCTATTTTTTCTCAAAGTTTTACCTATTCAAGGTAAAAGCGGGAGTTATAGAAATCCTTAACTCCCTTGGGAGTTATGATATCCTTAACTCCCGCGCGAGAGTTATGAAATCCTTAACTCCCTTGGGAGTTAAGACCCTGTTTATGATTATCGTAACCAAGGTATTATATGGTTATAATAGTTCAGTAGGAAATAAAACATATTACACCCTGATTTATGTAGCCCGTGCATTGGAAGTTTTCCAGTTTGCAAGTGGATTAGTATTATTCGAGGCATTATTATTATCTAATCCATCTGCAAGCTGCAAGCAAATGCACTGGCTATACATGAATCACCCCGCATTCCAATTATTATAACTTGATAATGAGTATCTCAGCCTAAATTCCAGGTTTCAAAAATTCAGTGTGTATGGGAGTTGGTGGCTCTGATTTATATGTAGCGAATGCGTGCGGTTTATCTGTAACCGAAATGCGGATAATTCACAGAGTTGTTAATATTAATTAACAGGTAGCAACTCGAATCACATCAAAATATGTTTTATTATTTATAATATTTTTAGTATATTGAGCATGGCTTTGTCTACAACAATTTTTGACTATAAAGCATATTTTGATTTGAATCTGTATGAATACTGAAATGGGCCATTAGAAATATTTTAAATCAAGTGAAGTAACTGACTGGTTTATTGGTAATGGGTATATGGGCGCAGAATATACAGGGTGTCCCACTAAGGTCGGCCAGGTACGATATTATGGAGACCATAGACCTCACGTAACTTGAAAACGAATGCAGATATTGAATTGCGGTTTGCGCCAAAATGTAGATATTTTTTTGCTCTTTAAGCACAGCAATACAAAAATAATATTATGCCATTTGGATTTTTCATGAAAATTAGGAAAAACTGGATCTTGAATAAACAGCGCCCTCTAGAAGACGCGGTGGGAACTATCGACCTTGAACGAAGTGGTGTTCCTAATAACAATGAAATTATCTTCCAAATAAACCCAAATTGAATGAGTTTGAATGAGGGGTATGGAAGATACAGCAATTTCTAAAAAAAAAAAAAATTCACCAGCTTCCCCCACCCTTATTACTGAAGATACGAAAAAAAGCCTAATAACCAAACTGGCGCAAAAATTTATGAACTTTTGATTTCTGTTGTTTAAACAGTACCTTAATATAGCGATTTCTTGAGAAAAGTTGAATTTTTAGCTATATCATCGTAATTGCGCCCTTTAGCGGTCATCCTAGAAACTTGAAAATAATTTCCATCAATTTCTCTTGGCCGATTTAGTGAAGAAAAAAAAAATCCCAAAGCCGTAAGGTCTATGGTTTCCATAATATCGTACCTGGCCGACCCTAGTGGGACACCTGGTACATATAGCTAAGCCGCAATATTCTGTGGCATGGGTTAATACTAAATTCAAGTAATTTTGCTCACTCAGGACATAACAATCAAATATAGAAACTTTTCAGTAAGTATCTTAAAACCACTAGAAGTGGCATAATTAATGTTGAAGAGTTTGTTTGTTTGTTTGTACTAATATTTGGAACTACCGTCGGATTTAGGAAACTCTTTCCATCTGATAGCCCATTTGTTCAGGAAGGTTATAGAATACCTAACATCACGCTAAGACCTTTAGAAAACGAAGAAATAGCGCGGGTGGGCTAGGCGACGCGGTGGGTCGGGGGGCCAAAGGCAGCTGCCCGACGAGAACAACAGAATTTGTTCGAGCTTGATTGTTTTCGATTGATTGATTGATATTTTTAATCAACAATGATTAAAAATATTGCCCATGCTGAAGTACTCTTAATTATTTATAAATAATCCGATTTCTCCAAACTTATACCTTATCGTTTATTGCAGTTGGTTGCAAGGGGGTTCGAGCGAGCAAGATATTTCGTACCTATCTAAGTAAATTAGTTTCTGTCTTGAGCATAGCTTTATGAAGTCTTAACGAATATAAATACTTTTTATTCAATTATTCTTGGTAAAGAAGGAACTTCTAACTATCGCAAAGCTTTATACATGGATCACGATATTTAGAATGTGTTGGGGACAAAAGGAGGGATTGATTGTTGACCCCATCATTGTGCACTTAATAATTATTATTCACTAGGTACCGGGTGATTGTCTATATTTTGCACCCACACCTACCTCACCTGTTTGGAGAGATACCCAGAAATGTCAAATGTGAAAGTTGTAGGTAATATCAGAAAGTTTTCAATGATGTTAGTTACAAGTATACAGGGTGTGTCTCAAAAGTGTGGCGAAGCAAAGTTATACTTTTTTAAATGGAAAACCTCGTATATTATCGTCCCATTAAATTAGCCTTTCAAACCTGATTCCAAATATACTAGGTTTTTTAGGTTTATTCCTCATAGTCCAACCTCTGAATATCCCATTTTGAAGAAATAATATGGATTTTTTACATGAATGATTACCTTTATGTTTTGCTGGTGGTCTCTATACTTCACCTTTTTCAATAAAAATGCCATTATTCCACCCCTTTTTCTCCTATCTTCTCCTGGACTATTATGAAAAAACCTAAAAAACCTAGTATATTTGGAATCAGGTTTGAAAGGCCAATGGGACAATAATATATGAGGTCTCCCATTTTAAAAAGTGTAACTTTGCTTCGCGACACTTTTGTGACACATCCTGTATACTTGTAACTAACATCATTGAAAACTTTCTGATATTACCTACAACTTTCACATTTGACATTTCTGAGTATCTCTTGAAGCAGGTGAGATAGGTGTGGATGCAAAATATAGACAATCACCTGGTACAGTGATTGCTAAGAAGTGAATGAAATGAATTGAGCATGTTCTTAAAGTAGAACAAAGAAAGTGGAAACTAGATAACTTAATTGAAGAGACTGTTTCAGCCCTTGATTGATAGTCGTAGTTCATCATGATAGTTCTTCAGACAGTGTACTCTGAATTCTCACTATAGATTTTTACAACTTTATGATGTATACTGCAAATTTTAAAATCTTTAAATTTTTAATCTTATAATAACGGTCCAAAGAAGAAACCCTAAGATTAAAAAATTTGCAGTTTAATTAGTCGGTCGACTACCCTCCATCTTTATGATGTATTTGATATAAATACTAATACTGTAACTACGTTTTCCCACCATAGAAGAACAGTACGTGGTACGTTTATTTTTTTATTGATAATATAAAAAAAATACCTACTAGCAACCTAATTAAGCTCATATGCTTTTGTTCAATACAAATATTTTGTTGACATATTATTTGGTTATTTATTGAACTTGTGTTAAGCCACTTTCTCCAATTTTGGATTTGCTACCTGGCAGCCTCAATACCTATTGTTATGGAGCAGTTAAAAAGCGTAAAGGGTGAATGCTAAGGCCTAGATCCTAGATCAATGGGTTTTATGTAAAAGATTGTGAAATACTTTGGCGAAACCAATGGACACGCAGGTACGAATGTTTGTTCACTCTGTATTAAAGAATTTGAGGGGATTAAAATTGGTCGAGTATGTAGTATAGTAATATAGTAAGTAATGAAATAAATGGCAAGACAATTACCGAGACAATTACATAGTGGATTGATTTGCGCAGTGGAAACAATCAGTAAACTTTTATCTTTTATCTACAAACGTTTGGTTATGACGTTCTTACATAACCATTTTTCTAGTATTTGAGTTACGTCATGAGACTCATAACACAACTAGTGGTGTTATAGACTAGGTTATGAATTCATAACACAACTAGTGGTGTTATGGACGAGGTTATGAGTCTATAACATAACTATTTTTGGTGATTTGACAAATGTCAAAGGTAAACCTGTAAAGGTAAAATGAAGGTAGACAACTATTAATGAACGACAATAATTGGAAAAATATTCTTATTTTTCGCTTTGTAGATAAAACGTTGTACATCACACGTGCGTTTAAACATGACTACAAAACTCGTGTAATTAGAACGACTCGGTCTACGACCTCGTCGTTCTAATCCTTCACACTCGTTATTGTAATCATGCTCATAAACGCACTTGTAATGTAAATTACTATTATTGAATTCAAATAGTGACTTTATTACCAGATTTGAAATCGGTAACCGAGTTTACCAGAGATATTCTGAAAAATTCTAGTCTAGAAATTCCATTTAGAAACTGTGAGGAGCGATACAAGAATAGCGACTTTATTACTGGTTTCGACATCGAAAAATAAATCCACAATGTGGGAACCATTCGCCAAGAAATAGCTTGAGAAGGAGATTGGAAAGTTGGAATGGAGAACATGGAGAAAATCGCAAACACTCTCTGAAAATTTGAAAAAAAACGTTCAAAGCTTTTTAAATCTGAAGGTAAAAAGTCAGAATTTTTCGAAAAATTTCAACACTGTTTTTTCTTAACGAGACGTTTGCAGACACATGAACCTATGCAAAAAGTGATTGTCCTACTGTATGTAAATAAACAGAGGTCCGCAAACGCAAACGCTTCGTTACTGATCTACAGGGTGTTGAAATTTTAACGTATTCATATTGAAAATGAGTAAGAATATGGCGGCAGGATCTCTATTGTCGCCACTGTACGTAGAAAAGCTAAATTGAGTCACTGTAGTTTCATCTAGCTGATTACAGAGATTTGTTTTTCAATTTTTTTCTTGATAAGGGTTGGTGATTCAAGAAAACTACAAGAGAACAAAAAGTTTCTAAATTAGGTAGAAAAATTATTTTGTTTTTGGAATCTACCAGCGGCGCACCGCAAAAAAGTTCAGGGGCAGAAAAGGGGACG